ACCCATATGCAATGGGTATTGCGGCTCAGACAATGGAGGAAATAGTTCATTATAATGAATAAAGTCACACGGGTGGAATATTTGAAGGGAGTAATTCTTTTCTAGGATTTTTTTGTAATTCTCTTTGTGCATCAGTAGATTTTTGTAATAGCTGAGGACAATTAACTAAATGTCTTCCGATTGTGCCTTTCCCTTGAACCCAATAATCTGCATGATAGCAACATTCAGAAACAGCCTCCAAATGAGCAAGTGTCTCAAATAAAGAAATTAAGGGAACTTGAATACTTCACCTCCACATTCACAGTTTCATGGATCTTTGGGGGACATGGTAGTGCTAACGAAATTTGTTTTGGGCTGTACCATTACCATCAGCCAGATAAAAATGTAAATCTGTGGCTGCAGGCATCGGTTGTCCATTTAAGGAATACTCTTTGCTTTTCAAGTCAGTCTGCTTTAATGGGATTATGTAGTTTCAGATGTTTTAAATCACTTACCTGGTTTGAAAAACAATGAAAAAGTTGCATTTTTCTTTTGTTTCGTTAGCAGTTGAAACTGGTCATGGGATGTTTTACTTTGCAATACTTTGTATTTCTTTGTTTGGCTGATGGGATTTCTACTTCGCCGTGTATCCTCCACTTTTGAGGCACTCTGTAAGCATGCTCTCAAAATCAAGGCTTCTGAAGCGCAGCTCTTTTGCAGGAAGCGATCATAAAGTGCATCTGGAGTCAAGTTCAGCTGAAAGAGGTCATCAAACTGAAACCAAAATGAGCTATTAGAAAGTCAAAACAACTCCTCTCTCTGTCAATCCTTTCTCCTGCATGTGAAGCATACAGAAAGCCAACATGGTGGACTTTTATGTTTGGCTAACTTATGCCCCTGTATAAAAAGGAGGGGGAAAAAAGCATGCAAACACCTTTTAAATGAAGCATAATATATGTGCGAGCGACGTAAACATGTTGAAGCGATGTAAGTGGCCTGACAGGAACATCACTTCTAGCAGGTCCCGTGTTGCATTAGTGAAGATTTTTCTCACAAAGGCTCACAAAGAATCTTCATAGCTTTCAAACCCAGAAAAGACCCCAACACAACAGACCAGGCTCACACGGGTGAGTGCTCCAGAAAAACACGGCTTCGCACAATGTTATTCCTGACCCACTCCCAACACTAAACAACCTACCCCCCCTTCTATCCTCAGAAAAATATATAGGTCATTCTGGGTCTAAAAATGGCTTGCTGTCCCTGAGGCTCGCCGGAGCATGAAATAGACTTTACATCACTTCGGCCAAGCTACAAAAACCAGGAAACTTTCTGCTTTTGCCTCATTTTTTATCTTTTTTATAAAGCCAATCAAACATTTGGCACTGCCTTTGACTGCCATTCTTTCTTTCAGCTGATGACCTGAATAAGATATCAGCAGTTTCCCGGGGTTTATAAAATGACAGGCAAGGCTAAAGTTATGTAGAGATTTAGATAACGCGGCCTGCTGAACACTAAATAATATGTTGCACCTCTGCGCTTCAGACTTCCCCCCCGAGCTGATAAACAGGAATCCAGGGGTGTATTTTTAAAAAGCTGTGTACTGATGGGAGACAAGATAGTCACATTACAGGCACCATATTTATTATTTCCAGCCACCCGTCTGCTGACGGATTTCTATAAATTATAACATGATTTCCTCCTCCCATAGGGTACATTCTGCAAAGCTGCAAACAACGGTGAGCAAAGCTGCTCTCGCTTGTTTTCAACTCTGATAACTTTAGAATGCAATTTGTGAAGGTAAACTTGCTCGTTGTAAATTGGACAGGGCGCTGAGGAAATTTCTATTTCTATTTGCAGTAATTTCCAGATGCTTTTACTTTGCTGCCAGGCCGTTTGTCTCATTTCCCCCTAATATAACAGAACCGAGTTCTTCCCTCTCCCTGCCTAATGTAGAAAAATCCCTGGTGGATTTGCCCCGGAAATGGCCTCATGTTTATTTAAGCCTGTTTATTAAACTCTAACGCCTGCTTCCTCCTCCTCCTCATTCATTTTTCTGTGGTGTTTTCTTACAGCCGACCGACCCCGGAGTCATCCATCAGTAAGGGCCTAGAGTAGCTGCAGCACGGAGGTCTTTAGCTGCATTTCACCACAACGACTGTGACATCAGCTCTGTATACAAACCGGCGGGTGTATCAAAGAGACGCGCAATTACAGAGGAGGAGATGGAAAGAGTTGGAGAAATTACCATAGAGAGGAAGAAAAAAAGATGCATCAGTGATGCAGTTTCTAATTCTGGTCCTGGGTTAGGCAATAGAGCATTAAATGGGAGCCAAACTGGAGCTTAGAGAAGAGCTAATAACAAAATCTCTCCCCTCCTTGTTTGCATATAGTGTATTTAGTCATTTTATTTTTTATCAATTTACATAATAATAACAAATATTGTGTAATAATTGTGGATTTAGGATGCTTATAAGGGATAAAAGCAGTTTTTTAATCTAAATGTTCACAAAAAGCTCACTCACTCCTCATTCAGTTATAAACTGTCTGCAGCCTTTGTTGTGGCTTTGCTTTGTCTTTAAATATATTTCTATAATATGAGGCATTAAAATCCTTTGGATGTTCTTTTTTGATGCAGCTGTTTTATTTTTTATTTCATTTTTTTTTTTTGGGAAAGACTTCTGTGAATACTGTTGACTTTTCTTCACAGGACATTTCAATTAGTGGGACAGCAAGACAGAAGACGAAATCAGGACGTCTGGAAAATGTAGTACCAAATGTGCCAAATCAACCTTCAAAACAAGCTCAGTGAAGTGGAGATGAATCCGTTCATGTTCATATTACCCAAACTAAACAGTCTGATTTTGAAGTCCAAACACAAACTCCTTCCCTTTTTGTTTATGGCTTCATCCTCAAGATGGCTCCTCTCATTTTCATAATTCTGTTTTCAAGAAGTTAGTCTGAAATTATATAAAACAGAAAAAAAACACTCGGAATGCCGCCACAGCTTATTTTACCCATAAATGCTACATATTGCACTAAAAAAAAAATAGCACACAGCTGGAAACCTTAGCTTAATCCGTCAGTTCTCAGGGATGGCAACATGAACCTCCAGGTAAAATTCTTATGCACAGAGCAATCGGTGCCTTAGCCTCGCTTAGAAAGACACAGGCAGTATTAGGTCCTCACAAAGGAAAAGAAAACAGCTTGCATGTCTGCAACAGCTTAGAATGATTCATGCACGCACAGACACTGGGTAATCAGAATTGCTCACCTGGAGGGGAAATGCTGCAGCTTTTTCTGCATGAAATATTCAAAAGTTTCCCCTCCTCCAAAAAATAAAATAAAAAGATCCCTTTCTGCTGGCAAAATTAGGTTCAACCCCTTAAGCCTGGCGGGCCCGGTACAAGGCCCAACTGACGCCTGCTCATGTTTATTTAATTATAGAAATAGCCAAAACAAAAGCACATGGAGTTTAATCCACACGCCTTTCAAATGAGGCTTTAAAATTTCTAAAACAGGTTTTTAAAATTTTTCACAAGCACTTTTTGTTTTATTCCTGTGAAAACAAATCAAATGAGATTTAAAATTCTACCTGACATGTGTGACTCTGCATGAGTAATACAACAGAAGGTATTTATTTTTAGCCCCTACTGGCCAGCATCATTGGAAACGGGTCCCTGATGACCCCTCCTTGGAAAGGCTCAGACCTTTCCAAGGAGGGTAATTGTGCGGTCATTTCAGGTGATGTAACCTGAAAATTAAAATTTAATTGAAACAATGCTTAAATCTTTGGAACAAAAGGCTTTGTCTTTTTCAGAAGGTCTTCAATAATATAAATTAACATAATTGTCTTGCGAGATTTCCTTCTATGAGTGGAAAAATGCATTTTTGCACTTTGGGACTGTGTCAAAATCACATTTTTGCCTAACACACTGTCAACTAAAACCTTTGTGAAACAAACATGCTTCAACTTATTGAGTCTAAATTTGCTTGAGTTATAAGTCAAGATGTGGATCTACAAAGTTTTGTAGTGTTTATTTTGGGAAATAATTTGGCGAGGCTAAATATTTTTTATTTTTTCATTGTTTAATTACTTATAAATCAGACATGGTGACATTTAAAATAGTGTTTCCACCTGAAAAATATTCCTCAATGTCTTTCTGTCATACAAATACAAACAATTGTATTTCCAATTTATAGTTTGGGAGCTGTATTTGCTTTAATTCACATATGTAAATTCAGGAGGAATTTGCTCCTAAGACCCTCTGGACTTAAGTGATACCGGTGTATTTCCTCTTACTGAATTTATTAACGTTTTTAAAGATGCACATCCAGAGTTTCAACTTGAACAGATAGGGGATCGGTGGAGGTAGCTCAGCATTAGTGCATCGGCATTTGGCAAGAAGTCAATCCAACCTCAGTCTTTAACCCTCCCCATACCCCAAAAAACCAAGAATGGTAATAACGCATCTTATATCCAGGATCAATACTCCCTTATGTTGATTGTGGTGAAAAAAATGCAGGTTTATTTGAAAAGATTAACTCGGTAATGTGAAGACAGTATGAACAAACTTGGTCATCATTATATGTGTAATGATTTTGCTGTGGAAACTGAATACCTGCACACACATAAAAGGATTATTTTGCCATCTGTGTGAGCCTATTGAAGTGTTTTATAGGAAAGCTTCTCTGCAAGGTTACCTACAAATTTTAAACTAATGTTGGTGTAAAGATCTTGCATAAATAAACACAGCACTGGATAAAAAGGGAAGGACACACATCTCAGTTGTGTGGTGTGCACAACAAAAGGGAGCCTAGGTTTTTGAGAGAAGATGAAGATTAAAAAGATGAAAACAAAAGAAAAAAAAAAGAGAACTTGGCAAACATTGACATCCAGCTGTGCAGTAGAGAATCAATTTTTAAAAACCCAAACCAAACTACAGCTAAATCAAACCATTCACAGAAAAGAAAAGCAGAATCAAGAATAGTCAACACAGAGCACGAGTATATTTATATCTATATATATATATATATATATATCTTCATTTATTTTAATATTTAAATCCACTAAAAGTTGTAAATACAACTTTTCAATGAAAGGCACAGGAAAAAATCAGACAATGCTGATATAACACTCAAAGAAAAATACAGTACAAAAGTGGACAGTTAGTTACACATGAACAAATCCCTCAAAATTCAGCATTTCCATAGTTAAATATATGGAGTCATGGGGAAACAAAAACATAGCTGTCACAATGAATGCAGTAGAAACAAAAGGAAAAAAAAAAAATCCAAACTGGTCTTTATTGCTTTTCCTAGCTGGCAAAAAACACATCAGTCTAACATGTCAGCTTTTCCATCAAACAAAAGATCCACTTTATTTCTCTACTTACTTAAGTCTTTGTTAAACCCCCACTAGGTATTCAATATCCTACTTATGACTTTAAAAGAATGAAAAAGAGAAAAAAAGGATTTAGAGGCCTTTTTTTTTTTTTTTAAACCGAGTTGTTGTGATGAACGTGTCCCATAAACCAAGAGCAAAATGACCCACTATTTGTGAATATGCTTTTAATTTGTTGGTCCACTGAGTGTAAAATCATCTCCAACCTCTAAGTGGCACAGAGCATTTAAATATTTAACAGGGAGATTTCTGAACTGCAAAATTCAAAAACTGCAGGTCTGGAAGCTGCTTCCGTTACAAGAAAGTCATTTCATAGATTTCTCTGTTCCCTTTTTTTTATTATTCCCATTGACCTGACAGAGGTTATAGTGTTGAGCACACTTGGAGAAGTCTGACAATAGGATTCATTCATCAAATCAAGATAAAAAAGGGAAAGAAAAGAATGAGGATTAATCATGTCCTCTGGTTCTTTTAGACTCACTTCATTTTCTCTTTTAAATTAAGTGTTTTTTATGACACTGATGGAGAAAAAAGTGTTTAACAGATCATTTATCAATCCTGCTAGAGGCCTACAAAGTAAAGGGAATCATTCAAAACAGTCCTGGCGGATGATTTTTAGTGGAACAAAAAATATCTATATTCAGTCTGTTCTTCAGAGTGCAGACCAACCGAATGAAAAACAGTGGTCTCTTATTACAAATAGCCTCTTTGGTCTCACATCTGCATTAAGGGACTTCAGCAGTCCAATTATCGCAGTTTTCTATGAGCAGCTGTCTCACCCTTTCTGATTCCTATAAAAAAAGAAAAGAAAAAAAGATCCACACACAAGAAAAAAGAAAGAAAAATGATTGCCACATTTCTGAAACCTGAAAACAGTGATTGGAAAACATAAAAGTTTGCATCTCAATAAGTTTTACATCATCAGAAAGTTATTTTTTTTTCAGTAATACTGTTCAAAACAAGGATTCATAGCAAAATTACAGATTTAGAGCTTTTGTTTTCATAAATTTAGACAATTATAGCTTAGAGCTTATGAGAAAGATGAGATCTAAGAGGGGGGAGGAAAAAGTGGTTAATTCATTGAGCAAGTACGAAATTTCTGCCAAATTTAGACGAAAATACAGAAGCATAATAGCTAACTAATTCATAGGGTGAGCTACAAAGGTAATTGCAAAAGCCTATTTCCAAAGTTCTGTAACCAAACACAATGGAAAGTTTATTGGATGGAAAAAGGGCCGTCAAGAGTTTTAGGGAATTTTACAGACAGACAACAGCTGGAAACGCTTCTTTTAGAAAAGACACGCACATACGTGTCCTGGGTAAGGGATTTAATAATTCCCTGTATTTAGCTACTTACTAAAGGAAAAAGGGACTGGGTTTTGTGTTGTGATCTCAGCTTTGGATGGAAGAATATTTTGCACAGGAGAGTCAGAAAGCTGATAAGCTGAAGGGTTTCATAAAGCAATCAGACTTCTAGCGGATCATCTCCATGACGCACAGAGTTGATGTAGCAATTCATATTTAGTTGTTTATTTAAGTACTGAATGCAGAAGTATACATCATATACAGATACATTTATGGCCAGATTTTGTTTTATATCCTTTTGTTAGTCTAATTTCATATTCTATAAAAATTAAAATCAAATCTAAAGTTACAATACCAAATATGTGCATGTTTTTTTGAACTGTATAACAGAAAAAAAAAACAACCCTTTTTGATGATTTTTAATGATTATCGAGATGCATTTCTACATGAAATGAGTAGCTGTCAAGTTATTCTAATTCCTCTGATATCCATAAACTTCCAACCTGCTTATTCTCTCCCTTGGCCTTGCCTGCTACCCCGCAGCAGGTGATGCTACTTCCACCTTTCAGGCAGCAATGCTACAGAAAATTAAGAGCCAGAAACACAGCAAAACATAAACATGGCTCAAATGACTACAATTCAGTCCAAAGCAGATCAACCCTTCCAGAAATTAAATAAAACTCAGTACTATAACTGAAACAGATGTTAACATTTCTAACGGCATAAAGCGAAGAAACTGAGGCAATAAAGAGGAAAATGATCATCTGGGCTGTGTGATGCGACTGCTGCCGTTAGCCTGGCTCCAATGACAGATGTGTTTACCGGAGCCCTTCCTTATCTCCGCTCCGGAGGTGGTAGCCCACCCTGAGAGCCCGAGAGGTCAACCTTGTAACCTCGCTGTCCTGGCTCAGGCAGGACTTTTTTTTTTTCTTTTTTTTTGCAGCGCCACACTCCTTTCATACAAAGGAGAAAAGTCAAGGTAAAAGCTGGGGCTTTAACAGGGTTTGATTTCAACACTTTCTTCCTGCTCCAAAGCGCAAAGGAGCAAATGACATCATGAACAAGGAACAACAGGTCAAGAGTCCAGATAGAGAGTACAAAATTATGTCTCAAATCATCAGGCCAACGCCGACCCCATGCATTACCTTGCCATGGCAGAGGAGGAGGCAGCAGCTAACCGTGTGAGGTATTCGCGCAATTCCTTTGCCGCCTGGAAGCGGCCGTATCGCTTTTTGGGTTTGGTGCACTCGTCCAACAAAGCCTCGAGTTGTCCATCTTTGGCTATGTGAGCAGGCGGGTTGTGAAGGAGGCCTCCGGTGGTTCCCCGCCACGTGGCGTACTGCGACAGCAGGTTCTGACACACGGCATAGTAGTTGTGGTCCACAGTGACCCGGGAACAGAGGGCCTCCTTGGAGAAAGAAAGGCAGGCCTCCCTGTCGCACTCCTCGAAGCGGCTCTCATACCACACGTCGTAGTTCTCCGGCTTGTCTGTAGGGGGAAACAGAATCTCAATTACACAGAGGTAAAACAATCTTTAATCCCCTCCCCCCCTTCTTTTTTTAACATAGACTTGAGCAGATTTCTATTTCAGGAGTTTTAAATGGTCTTTTTAAAACTGAAACGTGAACCAGTGGTTTTAAATGAAAACAAATGGAAAATGAGCAGAGTTTTCCAATGTGTGCAACCTCCATTTCACTAGGTTTCTCCAGGAACAACTAAATTAAAGGTCAAAGCTTATACTTCACCCTTTGAGATGAATTTATTTCACAATGCTATGTAATACCTGATTAAAATGCATTTTAGCAGCAGCTAAAAGACATGCTGCTTTTCAACTTAGGCCCCCTGCACATCTTTTTCTTTCTTTAAATGTGCTGGCTGTATAATATTGACATTTTTATTTTATCTTTTTTTTTTTTTAAGGTACAGCACAAAGGAGAGCTTTTGGTTGATTTTTGTTTAGTTTTCATCTGCTGAGGTTCCTCTCCTCCTGGCGTTAGTAACCATGGCGACAATGGCCAGACACACCTGGTTTGATCAGTACATCCAGTAATAAAAGACAGGAAACAAACAAGCTGTCTTAAGTAGTTAATTATGCTTGGAGTCTATTCTGATTTCATTCCAAGAACTATTATAATAGCAAATGTCATTGTAGTGAATTGTGCAATACAAATAAACTTGCATTGCCTTACACATTTTAAATGAGATTAGCGTCATATTATTTATTAACATCACTACCACTACATAAACAGAACTCACTGTTTTTTATTCCATAAAATCCTCATGCTAAGATAAAAAAAATCATATTTTATGAAAGAGACTGAAAGCCTAAAATTACCAGAAGCCTACTTTTCTGTACTCCTGCTGTCTGGTGAAAGCTTTGTTCTCTCTTGCTGAATAAGTGGAAGGGAAAAAAATCATCTAATTTTCAATGTCAAACATAGATTAATTTAAAATATGTTAAACCTATGTTTCCACAAGGATTACTTAAAACGGTTAGCTGGTTCAGTAACTGCAACCAAACTAAATCATCCAAGTGCGCTGTTGTTAGCATGATTTGATGCTGCTTATGGGTACTAGCTGATCAGAAAAGTATTTGATTTTTTCCTCCTAAAAAGAAAAAAAAGTTCTGTGGCTATTGTGGTATTTACTGTATGTCAAGTAGAAAGAAAGCAGAGGTAAAAAATGAAACAAATATCCTTGGAATGGGATTTAAATCACAGAAAAACAGTTTCAGTACACAGATCAAAGGCTAAGATTGTTGGGATAGGCACATAACAGGCACTTTTTATTTAAGCTTTAATCTAGGGCTGCAACTAATGATTATTTTGCAAATCGATTAATCTGTTGATTATTTTTTTGATTGATAATCCGATAGCCAAAGGTTCCTCAAAGAAGACTTTTTATGATATCAAACCAGGTGAAAACTAAAACGTTTCCACTTGAGGAACATATTTATGAACGAACAACTTTTTACCCTAAATGCAAAAGGTTTATATATATTTTTACCATTCCTGCTCTAAGTGGATTTTTCTGTGAGCTAAAGGCATGTTTTTAGGGTCTGTATACTCCAGTAAACGATTAATCAATTACTAAATTAGTTGATGATTATTTCAATAATGGATTAATCCGATTGATTCAACTCTACTTTAATCAACTAGTTAGCAGTAATAGCGAATTAAACTGGACACTTTGTGGATCTACTCACCATCTTGATTTCGCTCTGAAACAAATAGTCTCAGCTTGACTCAAATTAGGGAAAAAGTTGGAAAATACATGGAAAGAAAAAGTTAACCCAGTGAATGCACTGAGTGAAAGTAAAACACCCTTCAATTGAGACTTTAAAACTAATATGTTGGCCTTTTCTTCAGGGTGCTACATTAAAGGGGTGAGACTTTAGCTGATGGCAAAATTGCTTTATTTTATCCTTTTAAATTTGATTATGAATGTGTTCAATTACTTAAGTGCACACATGCATTTATATTTACTTTAAATTTGTAAATGACTAATATAAGCTACCCAAAAAAAAAAAAAAGATCAAATAAATATTTAGTTAAGATAACAGAAAATAATCTAATGAAAAAATAAGGCAGATCATCATGTTTCCCCCACCTCCAAAATAAAATTAAACTGATTACTCGAGGTACAAAGTCAAGGAAAACATTTCGATTTAAATCCAAATTATCTTAAATTGATAATCGGTTGCAAAAAAAAAACTAACAAAAAAAAAACAATTATAAGAATCTGACCTTTTAAAACCCTAAGTGGGTTTGAGGAATGGACCTCTAGGTTCCCAGTGTCATGGCTGTTTGAGGTTTTTTTGCATTCATTAAAAGAATAAATTATATTAACAAAAATGTTTCAGCGTCTTTGTGTAGTTGGAGCCTTTATTCTTCATGGTTCATATTTTTCAGGTATGCAAATCATACTGAGTTTATTTAAATAACCCAAGGATTTAACCATACCAGCCACTGAGAGGATCGAAAAAACTCTAAAAGCCTGCAGCCACTGTGAGAAACCCCCTTTTTTTAAAAAGCTCACCACCGAACAGCCGTCTACAGTTTCATTTGACAGAAATGAACCCTTTTACTTGATTTACAGAGCAAATAAAATTCTTTCCCCTGCTCATTTTATTTTCCTTTTTCATTCTCTTTAGAGAATTGAGTTAGGAAAGAAGGGAGGCAATAAAAAAAAAACCCTGGAATGATGAGAGAGCTATTGGTTTGCGCATTAAAAGCAGATCAATAACACTGTTGGTAGACTGGAGGGGACCCAGAGGATGCAAACATATAATCAGTGCATCAGGCACTGTAATGCACTTCTCCTCTGGCTCATCAGAACAACTCAATCAAACGTCCGACGCTGGGCCGTTAGTGAGAAGAGGGGAACCCACTGTGGGCCCCCACCCCCGAAGAGGAGAGGCACATCAACCTCAATTTGTGTGGGTGATGAAGATGGATATATCTGTGCACCAACGCATATAAAGACGTACACGAAAAACGCAGCAAGGTGAGGTGAAAAGCAATTATTTGCCTTCGAAGCAGTCATGCGTCACACATCAGCACTGATTGACAGATGGCATCTGGAGAGTGTCCCGCTCTTCAGACACACACACACCCCCACAGATAGAGAAAGAACCCTCAGAAGGAAAAACAGGATAGACTCAAGGACAGAAAGTATTTTTACATTTTGTTAGCTTGCAATCACCAACTTAAATGCATTGCACTGGGATTTTAGATTATATGCGGTGTAGTGGATACCTAATGTGTAAGGTGAATGGAGCGGAACGAAAAATCAATTCAAAAATCATAAAAAGTATTATTTTTAATTTGTATTTACAGTGAATTTAGCTTTTAAGTATTAATCCCTTAAATCCAAAAGGGATTCCAAAAAGCAAAAAATAAAAAATAAAAAAAAAATTAAATTCAATATATACATATTTTTTTAATTGGAGGTCTCTTGTGTTACATTCAATTTCAGTACAAAATACTGCTGTCCTGTGAAAGCTTCAGTGGACAGATAATCTACAAAAATCAAGAAATAAAGCAGAAAGGTTTAAAGAGAAATGTCAAGGACAGAGTCACTTGGGGAAGTTGCAAGGGTAGTTCTATGGTGACTCTGGAGGAGCTGCAGAGATCCATATCTAAGCTGTGGTAAACTGCTGACAGGTAAACTATAACTGGTTTACATAAACATGTTGGTTTCTATGGAAGCAAGAAGAAAGGTAACATCCTCTTCAGGAAAGATGATGGTAGAAGTATGTTGTACAAATGCTTTAGATTAGCAAGGAAGATTAACACAAATCCAGGTCAGACTTTCTTATTTTAAGAAAGAAACCATGTTTTGTTTTTTTTGTTAAAAAGTATCGACTAAAAGCTAATTTTCAAAAATCTGGTAAAGAGATACCAATAAAATAAATCTTGATGTTTTACCTTGAAAAATGTATATTTCCAAGCCATGAATGCTTCTTGGAAGGTACCTGAACCTGTTTTTTTTTTCTACCTGCTGGTATGTGTAGATTTACAAAACAAATGAAATCATTTTCAATTCAAATCAGCGGCAGCATCAGACGTAGTATGACCATCTAGCATCGTGTCCTTGCGTTTTTTGTACCTTCCATGTTAAAGAGCTCAGTCAGGCCTTTATTGCATTCCTCTCACTTCCTTTAGCTTCACAAGGTTGCACAGAGTTGGGAGGCATGTACTGAGACCTCGTTAGCAAAGCCTTACCATTGAGCTAAGAGAGAAAGGTCGCATATTTTGGAAGCAAGAGGAAGAGAAAAGTGCATATGTGCCGAGGACAATGAGTGACATGAGTGTTGCCCAACCATCCAGAGACGCTATGAGCTCAGCCATGAGGAAATCACTCGTTTCGCACGGCTGGGCTGTGCAGACAAAAGGGCACAGCACTCCGTCTTCAGAATCCCACATGCATCAATATGGATGGTTCTAATAAGAGGGCGGAACGACGTGTTGCTTTCCGCACGTCTGATTTACAAATCGATGGGTTTCAGTTTGGAACGGTGATTCTATCGTCACATGTTTTAGCTAACTTTCCCAGCTCAGGCTTTAATTGTAGGGATTGGATCCTCTATTACCACAGCCAGGGAAGTTGCTGCGCCTGTTTCCTACTGATCTTCGTCACAGGGCCGTGACCTAGTAATGCTTATTACTGCCATGATCCCCCCCTTCTTCTTCTTCCTCCTGCTGCGCCTCAGCTTTTTGGCACACGCACACAAACAGATCCAGGCGCACAAACATGCAGGAAGCAAATAAACTCAAGGCTTAAGCTCTGAAAGGCCAGGGGTAAGCAGCTTGAGTTGTCAGACTCTAAATGTGTCGGGCCAGACAAAGGGAGTATCAACCTGGATTGTGCTCCAGGACTGGCAAAGGGCTTCGGTGACAGGCTGGAAAATTGCAGCTCTTGGCATTAAGATAAATACACACTTCTGAGGAAAGCAAATACACAAACACACATAAGCATTATAGCATAGAAATTAAGCAGAAAAATCAAGCGAACGACTGCAGTGATGTTTGAATTCCTTCACAGGTTCTGCTTTACGCTTTGTGGTTCCCTGGAGTTGAAGCTTGTAATTTGGCAAAACGGCACTTTATCCCAAGATAAATGTATCAGACTGCTTCCATTATGTGTATAAAAATGGAAACATGCTCCTTTTGCTTACAAGCCATATCTCATATCTGTCAAAGTGAACAATGCTGAAACCTCAACATCTAGCAACACAATAGTTTATCAATCTAATAGGATTTCAGCACAAGGGGGACAAATGCAAGTACTGGAGGAGGTGGCCGTTGCTCTCTCTGAAGTGGCCCCTGGAAGGAAGACTGAAGGGAGGCGAGCGGCAGTGCTCAGCCTGTGATGTATAGCTTTCCTGGACCTTTTTATGTTTTTTTTTTAAAGAGGAAAAAATCTAGGGCAGCAGAGATGGCTCGTTATCCGAACAATCTTAGCTTTGATGGGGATGCATGCGTAGAGGCAGAAGGGGTGCTGGATGAGTATATTCTTAGAAGAGGGGAGACTTCCTGCATATGGAAATTCTCAAGAGGCCGTTCCTAAAACATTCAGTGCTTCCTCATTCCCCATTTCATTTCCGCCCAATCCAAACTACATCCAACTTCATGTCATGTTCACACTGAGGAGCTGAGATGGATGAAACAAGTGGATGAGGAGTGATGTGATGGTCAAAACAAGTGTAATGTCTTTAGATTACAGATTACCAGTTAAAAGAAAAGTACAATAATTTACGATGGTGCGTGTTATGTGATCTGTACGAGGATCTGTCCAGCTCTGTCACAATGAAAAAATTTAACCTTTGATAAGTTGGGGTGATTATGAGAGATTTGCAGGCTAACAAACGCCTGAAAAAAGAATCAAGGTGGCACAGTTATACAGTGGTCTGCAAAAGTTTGGGCAACCTTGTTAATTTCCATGATCTTCCTTCATAAATCGTTGGTTCTTAGGAAAAATAAAAAATTTGTTAAATATATCATATAGGAGACAAACACAGTGATATTTGAGAGGTGAAACGAAGTTTATACCATTTACAGGAAGTGTGCAATAATTGTTTTAACAAAATTAGGCATGTGCATAAATTTGGGCATTGTTGTCATTTTACTGATTTAAAAATCTCTAGAACCAATTATTGGAAATCAAAATTGTTTTGGGAAGCTCAGTGACCCTTGACCTACATACACAGGTGAACCCAAATATGAGAGAGTATTTAAGGGGGGGCAATTGTAAGTTTCCCTCCTCTGTGAATCTTCTCTGAAGAGTAGCGACATGGGAGTCTCAAAACAACTGTCACATGACCTGAAAACAAAGATTGTTCACCATCATGAATTAGGGGAAGGATACCGATGCCGGCTTCCTTTTCGAATAAGGTGCTGTGGACTGATGAAACTAAAATTGAGTTATTTGGACATAACAAGGGGTGTCATGCATGGAGGAAAAACAACACAGCATTCCTAGAAAAACACCTGCTGCCTACAGTAAAATTTGGTGGTGGTTCCATCCTGCTGTGGGCCTGTGTGGCCAGTGCAGAGACTGGGAATCTTGTTAAAGTTGAGGGATGCATGGATTCCACCAAATATCAACAGATTCTGGAGACCAATGTCCAGGAATCAGTGACAAGGCTGAAGCTGCGCCGGGGCTGGATCTTTCAACAGGACAATGACCCTAAACACTGCTCAAAATCTACTAAGGCATTCATACAGAGGAACAAGTACAACGTTCTGGAATGGCCATCTCAGTCCCCAGACCTGAATATTATTGAAAATCTGTGGAGTGACTTACAGAGAGCTGTCCATGCTCGGAAACCATCAAACCTGAATGAATTAGAGGTGTTTTGTAAAGAGGAATGGTCCAAAATACCTCCAACCAGAATCCAGACTCTCATAGGAAGCTATAGGAAGCGTTTAGAAGGTGTTATTTCTGCAAAAGGGGGATCTACTAAATATTGAGTTATTTTTTTTGATTGTGGTGCCCAAATTTATGCACATGCCTAATTTTGTTTAAACAATTATTGCACACTTCCTGTAAATGGTATAAACTTCGTTTCACTTCTCAAATATCACTGTGTTTGTCTCCTATATGATATATTTAACTGATTTTTTTTATCCTAAGAACCAACGATTTATGAAGGAAAATCATGGAAATTAACAAGGTTGCCCAAACCTTTGCAGACCAGTGTATATCAAATGAAACTAATCTCTAAAGTTTTTTTCTGTAATCTGACATACTTGTTTAGTTTGAGAAGCATTTGATAAGCTTTTTGTTAGAGATCTAACTGGAACTGAGACAAAGCAGAATGGAGTAAGACCCTAGGATCACCTGGCTCTCAGGGTAGATAAAACAAAAGATTAAAAACTGTTAAAGAACAAAGAACTGAAACCATATAGATCATATCTGCATGTGCACAGATTCTTTAGCGAAGCCAGAAAAACACCTTTCAGTCATCATCATCTACCCAAATATGTAGTTTGCTAAACTATTCGGACTGAGAGGAAAATGTCACTTTGTTAAGATAAAGCTAAAATTGAGCTTTTTTAGCAACAAGAATTAGAATCTGGTGTGAAAGAAAGACTATGTAGAATAGCACCATATAATGGTAAGTATGGTGGAGGGCCTATGATGCTGTGGGCATGTTTCTCGTTTAATGGACCCAGAAATACCTCTTAAGTACCAGGAGAATTTTAAGAAGTGTAATGGAGTCTCTTTCCACAACACGTGTTAAACTCCTTTGTCTTCCAATGGCATTTTTTCACCTGAAGAAATAACAGAAGGGATTTTTTCTGTCTGAGGAAATGCTAGTGAAATGAATAGCAGCTTCTTTCTTCTTCTTCATTTTGCACATCTTTGTCAGGGGTGCATATTGAAAGCTGGTCACAGACAAAAGAAATGGAAAAAAAGTAGCTAAGTAATTATAAATGATAATTCAATGACATTTACCTTGCTTTATCTGTCTTTTGTCTGCAACCAGGACATTTTCGGCGTCAACAATGATGACTTTTCCGTCCCGGGGGCCGACTGCAAAGTTATCAAAGCTGACATCCAGCAGGTAGAGGGCAAAGTCAAAGTCATTGTTGGTGAGCTGCTCTGCAATGTCCATCAGCTGCCGCGCCAGGTCAACCCTCTTCTCCCATGGTGCATTGTAGAAGCTCCACAGCTCCTCGCCCACGTAGTTGACAGCTACCATGCGCCCACACGCTCCCAGGTACTTGGCGAACGGCCACCCTTCATCCGATGGAAAGCTCTGGGAAGGAAAATGAGGACAAAATATGTCAGGCGGTGAAAATCGAATAACAAATACTCTAGTGGCTGTGAAAGGCAAAGGCTAACACATGAATTGTGGAGACAGTCACCGTGTCAGAGAACAGACTTTTAATTTGCTCTGAAATCAGTTCCTGAATCCAGAGAAAAAGATGAAAGGGAAGGAAAGAAAAAAAAAATACAAGAAGCTGATGCAGCCTTAGGTAATTTCTGATAAATTATTTGAAACACAATAGCTGAAAATCAGCCAGAGAATCACGTGAAACAGAGCCAGCTTGGGGTAGAACGGATTAAATTTAATAAAAGCAAAGAGCCAGTTTGCGTTTAAGCCCTCCAGCCACAAGCTGATGCTGGCTGCTTTGCTCTGTGCTTCCAGAAAGCTGATAGGAGGTGATTTGTGGCAGCAGCAGTTAGCAGGAAAGCCTTATGCTTTCTGATGCGACTGCGGGGCGTTTAAACGGCTTCGTGGTGCTGCTTAACCCGGTTAATACAGTTTGGGAATACTGACAGGAAATCACTTCATATCAAGGGTTCAAACCGGTTCAAAACACCAAGATAAACAGTTCAGAAGCTCTTGTTCCATCGATGCTACAGCACAATTTTACCTCTTTTCTTTTTATTTTCTTGGTTCCTGCACTCCAACAAACATTAACCTGTCATTTATGATTTAAATGGAAGTAGGGATGTCTAAAATGAATATGGGGCAAACTAATTTTCATGAAAAAAAAAAAAGAAAAAAAAAGAAAAGAAGAGCAGATCTTGCTGCTATGAGACCACCATTCTGGCATCTTACAATTTTCCTTCCTTCTCCTTCTCTCCTTTGGATCCATTTCATTGTCACAGGCTGTCAAGGCAGTCAGACAAATCGATGGAAAATAACAGCCGGAATCCAACTTTTATGCAGACGCAAGATTTTTCACCACAAATGATAATAAGCTCCCATCATATAACATAAACTCTCCACCAGGGGCCTCCATCTTTCATAATAAACACCTGCCATATGTTTTGCTAATGACAACCCACAATTTCCATGTATTTTTTGCAGTATTCTTTTGGCATGTGTCCGACGCAGAAACCCGGCAGGAGAGGAAACCACTAGGACACTGCAGGTGTGAACTATTATGACTTCTGCATCCTTGTCTGCTCTCAGAGTAATTCAATATTTTACCAGCTTTCAATTTCTGCCAAGAGGCTGGGAGGGTTAAATATGCATGGCTGCTTCAACTACTTCTAAACTTTAATGGAATCCAAATTATTTACAGGCGGATGTGTTAACCACCCACTGCAACGCTCCCCACTGGGACCATAGAAGGTGTATCTCCAGGATAACAGATAGACCTGTACCGCATATAAACTACAGATCTAAGTAGGCTGAAGAACAGATTACTACTGTAGCTTCCTAAAGTAATCATACCCTATGAACCATTTGGTCATGTTACAAAATAAAATCTACATGCTTTTATTGGGATTTTAGATGATGTACTTAAGGAAAATTAAAAAGAAGAATCTAACCCAGGGTAACCGACTGTCTTCAGACGTTAATTAGTAAACCCCACATTGGAAGGTAGACAACCTGAGTGTGGAAAAACTGAATATATTCTAGGTCTGGAGGAGCAGTAACGTCCCTGTTAAGACTGGTTCCCTCGGCAAGATTTAAAAAAAAAAGAATGGCTTTGGTGGTATAATAAGAAGAAATATATTGCCATGTGAACCCCCTTTGGAAGAATATTTCACAATTTGGAATTATTTAAAGCCATGCAAGCCATGAATATGAAATGCATGAATAAAGATTCTCAGGTGTATTCAAACTGCAGTTTTAGGCTTAGAGAACTCTGTCTGGTAACTAAAAGTAGCTATGGTTGTAGTCAGAGATCTGCACCAGGTTGGGTATCCGAGGGTATCTGTCAAGCCCCCCCAATCCTGGTCCTGCTGCACTGCCGGTCTCCTGCCCACATGAACAACACCACCACATGTGAGCAGAAGTCAGCAGAGGCATAGAGAAACAGGCTATCCAAACTAATATGGAACAATAAGAACATTACATGTAACAAAATGAACCAATAAACAGAACCATAATACAGGGTCATTACAGTATTTTTCTAAGCAACGAGGCAAACCTTACTTTATGCAAATTTACAGCTGTTAATCAGTGGGCACAGCGCGTACTGGATGTGAGTGTAAGGCAATGTTCTTTACCGTCTCCGTTATTATAAATGGTTTTGTGTACACTTTGTGATCACAGGTCAAGTCGTACTTCATTATTTATGGGTCCGAGGGGTCCTGCTCGCTTCTTCCGGCTCAGATCAAGAACCTTGGCAGACAGAGGTGCCGCACTTGCTGTGATTGGCTTAGTTATTTCATCCAGTCTAATTAGATGAAAAATTCTAATGGCTGTGTATTAGTAGCTACCTGACGTTTTGTAATCATATCTATTTAACCAGAAAAACTCCTCAGATTCATTCAGCAGGGAACAAAGCAATGCCCAATTGTTGTGTCACGTGACCAAATTAGCTAATTTCATTGGCTAAAAGCTGCATCGAGTGTAAATTGATTTGGCTTGAGTTCACCAAAAGGTCGACACATTTGCAGTTGAATTTTTTGCAGGCAATTTTTTTACCAGATATAAATTCAGTGTAAGGAATACGGTGTTAAAAAATATTCAGTGTTTAAAATTTGGTGTACAGAAAAAGGCAGATTCCAATGACATTCCATATTCAACCCTTCAGCAGGACGACATTAAAGATACAGCAAGAGCAACAAATGAATAGTTCAGATCAGGGATCTCAAACACAAGTCCTTGAGGGCTGGTATGCAGCAACTTAAAGATATCTCCCTGGTCAGACAGACCTGAATAAAATGTCTAAATTACCTCCTCAGTTGAAGTCAAGCTCTCCAGAGTCCTGCAAAGAACCTAATTATTTGATACAGGTGTGTTAAAGCAGAGATGCATCAAAAACTGCACAACACGGGCCCTCAAGGACTTGATTCTGACATCCCTGGATAAGATCAAAGCATGGTCATGTGCTTGAAATGGCCAAGTCAAACACAAAAGCTCACTTCTATTCAATGTGATGGAGCTTGAAATAATATCCAAAGCTAAAAGGGCAATAAGGTCACTCCAGAATTGCAAATCTTGTGAAGTAATTGTGGTAAAAGGTGGTAGACTGTGCAAGCTGTTCTGACTGTTATTGAGAAATGCTTCCTTTGAATCTTACTTCCACTACATTTATCCACTGCTTTGTGTTAGTCTATAAAATGAAATCCAAATAAAAAAAAGACTGCAGCTTATTATTACAACTTAAAAAAAGGTGACAAAGTTCACAAGGATATGAATAATTTGAAAAGGTAAATCAGCAGTTGCATTTCAGAATCACAGACAAGCATAAAAGAATCTCACCTTAAGCAGCCCTCAGATTGTGCATTGCACAAATCTCAACCTAGCAACTCTTAAGGAAAAGCAAATAAAAGGGCCCTCAAGGGGCCGCTTAATGCAGCAACGACTCTTCGCACATCTAATCAAGCTTTTATAGAGCATCACTGTTTATGCGTATTAATCTATAACCCCTTCTGACAGTTTAAAGAAAAGCGAGGAATGAACTGCGTGCCGTATTGGTAGGATCCATTTCCCTAAGGTGGTCCAATCAATTGTGGGTAAGACAAAAAGTCTGTCCATAAAGCAGCAGTTGCTTACTACAGCCTGTCTGTCTGCGCCTGTCACTTGGCTATGACTCACCAGAACTTCTCCAAATCATCTCACCCTATTACCCTTCCTCTAGATTTTCTGAGACAGAAAATGTGACAGGATGAAGATTCTGCAGTTTAAAAAAGAAAAAAAAAATTATTTGGACGTTGCAAATAGTGGTTGGAGAGGAGACAATCATGTAAGCTTTCTCTCACAGGCGATTTAGGATTAGAAATGTAATAGGCTAAACATCTAAAATGGCTTTCTATGTTCTAAAGTTGCTATAAAACGATTAAGCTGATGATGGATCATATGGTATATCCTTTTTAAGCCAACATGTCGTACTCTGACCCAAATTAAAACACTTCATTATGTATTTGTTGTGATCTCTGGAAATATTTTCAGCCCATCTCCAGCTAAACACCAGCCTTCCTCCACAGAGGAGATAGATAAATAAGGGGCAGGTGGATGGAGGTAGTGGTTTGGGGGGTGCGATGAGGAGAAAGAGAAACGGCTAACAGAGGAGACAAACAGAGCGTCTTTCACATCTCTGCCTCAGTAGACAGGAGGAGTAAACTGGCAAAGACCTGGCTGCTAAACACATCTCTCTCTTTGTTGTCAGATTGCAGGCCTGAATGGGAGCAAAAGTAAAGCGACAGCAGATTGGGTGGGGGGTGGGAGTGGGATGAATGCCCAGAGGCTACTTTCAGACACTGTCAACGGCTGTTATGAGAAGGCCTTCATGTCTGTCTGGCCGCCGTCCTCAGCTCTCAACATGGTTGTTGGTCATTTACCCACGCTGGCAGGCCTGTTGCTTAGCGATCTACGTCTAAACTTGTACCTCTGCGCTGCTTTAACCAGCTTCATAAATCAAAACTTTTGAATGTAAAAAAAAAAAAAAAAGCTGCCTTAAGGAATGAACTACTGAACAGTGAATGCAGGCACATGGAAGAGCGCACCTGAGCACCCAGATTCAAGCCCTCCTATTGGGCAGGTTGATAAATACTGCACCCATTCTCCCTTAGCACTTCCTAAATGGTTATACTGCAGAAGTCATTAACGGCCGCAATGAGGCATTTTGAGGGAAGTACTGGTGGGGAGGGAGGTAGTATAGAAAAGGCCCAGCTTAATGTGACATCTTTTTTGCATCCATCTATAGGAAGGCCTAGGAAGTATAGACTGGGAAAGTGTGGTTGTGAATTTAGTCGTCTCCTGATGGTATTAAGCTTCTGAAAACTGCTGAGGGAACTAAAGTGCCAATGACATTCTTCTGGTTTAGAAGGTCTTAAATTATCAGCTAA